CCACACATAATAAAATAATCGTGGACCCCCCTCCATGTGAGAGAGGTGTAAAAGATTGTGTAAAAATGTGTGTGTACATGTAGCATTACCCAATTTTTTAATTAGTTAGTTTGATCAATTATTTTAGTGGATTCTGTTAGTTGGATAAAAGATTTCTTTAGTCGAGTGTGTTTTACCCCCATGAGTAGATTAATGTAATATATTTATTTTCTCAAAATCAATTTAGGACGTATGAGAAATTAAGGAAAAAAATGACCATTTGAGTTTAAAATAATTTGGGAATAAAAATTGGTGAGAAATTGAAAAATGACAATCCCATATAGAAAAATTATAAGAATAGAAATTATTTTATATTGTTTAAATTTGAAACTTGAGTTTGTTCAAACTAGTAGGTTGAGCCAAAGCTCGCGTGTCGCCGTTCGACTAGCTTGGCACGACAAGATCATGGATCGTGGGCTTGGGCCAAATTGGTATTTTTTTTTGGTAAAATAACATTTGAATTATATTATTTTAAATAATATATTTATTTATTTCTCCTAATTTTCTGTACGCGACACGTGACATCTTCTAGAAACTAGCGGTTGACAGTTAAACCGTCTGTCCAAACTTTTCGACTATTGTGTCTTTTGGATACAACTTTTAAATTTCTATATAAATGTTTCCATATCTCAGGTTTTATTCATTTCAAATCAATTATAATTTTTTTCTCTTACAAATTATATTCCTTCATTTTTGCATTATTCTATATTTTGCATTTCAGTCTCTAATATTATTTTTGTGCAATTTAGTCCTCCAGTTTTAGAGAGATAATAAGCGTTAGTGAGGTCTTGTAATTTGGTGCTACTATAACAAGTCAAGGTCATTGTATATTGGGAAACGAGTGCCGGAAGATCGTCGCATTACTGCGGAGCATTATTGTCTTAAAGAGAAAGAATCGAACTCTTGCCTCAACCATTATTGTTTTATTCTCTACATTTTGAAAGTCGGTATTCTGCCCAACCGAATATTCTCCGTAAAAGATTATTTTAAATTATTGCACGGTAAAATCATTATTTGCCAACAAACAGTATCCTAAATAATTTGGTCATCAACCATGCCGAAGACTCTAAAAACACGGAGATGTTCAACACATATTTCTTGAAGTGTCAAAAAGTCTAAATATCAAGATTCAGCTCATTATACAGTTCAATCTTGTTAATAAAAATGTCATAAAAGGTATCATTATGAGGACAATGATATGTCATGAACCATATTTTTTCCCTACAATCACCATTGGCATTTCTGGCTAATGTTTATAAATGATTAACAGAAAAAGTTTTCAGGTATGTAGAAAATGACTTATCGCTTATAATCTAGAAAAAGGATTTTAGTGGGTGAAGAGAAAATATGTGACAAGGCAGCAAGAGAAGGTGTGATTTTAGTACCTTAAGGCAGCACATGTAAGAAAAGTAAAAGTAAATTTGAATGTAAAACAAGCAGTGGGATCCAGCTCCAGGCTCCCAAGTGTCCTGGGCTCAGTCCCTCTGAATGTCTTGTTTCATCAAGGACAACACATACTTGCAAATTCTAACAAATCCCATTTGAATTTTTTTTTTCTTTTTCTTGTTTTTCCTTTGTCCTACGAGATTCAATACTTTAAAAATCAGCAGAGAACTTGATCCAGAGAAAAAGTAAAAGGTTAATGTCATTGGGTTGAACTACTAGTAAAAAAGAATTTAATAAATAATTAAAAACAAAATTTTAGCATGAATCCACTGGTTCTATTATATTTTCAAATTTTGGGTGACAAGTGGACTTGTGCTCGATTTTTTTTCCATTGTATTTTCATTTTTTTAATCAAGACTTGGTCTCTGATTCAAAAGGATTGTGAATTGAAAATTCCCATATTCAGTTATTCACAGTAAGATTACAGTGGATGTGAGTAGTTATGTCAACGAGTCGAGTCGAAAAAAAAAACTCAGCTCGGCTCGAGCTTTTTTCGGGCCCGAGTCGAGCCGAACTCGGCCAAAAAAAATAAAGCTCGGCCCAAGCTTTGGCCCGAGCCTTAGCGGGCTGAGCCGGCTCTATTTTTTATTTTTTATTTTACTTTTTTCCGCTATTTTAGTTTAAATTTTTTTTTAAATTAATCACTGGCCGACCCCCCAAAATGGGGCTCGGCCCGAGCCTAGGCTCTGTTCCACCAAGCCTCAGCCGGGCCCGGCTCGGGCTTTTTCAGGGCCGAACCGACAAACTTTTTTGCCACCACTAGATGTGAGTTTGAGAAATTCTCACGAAATTCTCACAAAAGGCAAATCCCTTTTTTCTTTGTTATATCTTTTTCAGATCTGAAAAACAAAACATTTGGTCAATTTTTAATGAAGAAATTTCTTCAGAATAAACTAAAATTACTCATTTGTTGAAACAAGTATTCATAATAGATTAAGAACCTTTATATTAGGCTTAACATAGTGTATGCAGTTATACATCCAAGTTCAAAACCTTTGCATGGGTTAATTTAGTTTCTCTAAAAGTTAATTCAGCAGACATAGTCCCCACCATAAATTACAATCCCAAAACTTGGGACCCCTCTTGGGATCAGAGGAGTCAAGAAAAAAAAATGGAATGCTCAATTGTACAATTGTATTAATGACATGAGATTGCATTATTTTTTGAATTATGCTTGAGTGTACATTCCATTTTGTACACATTTGTTGACATTGCGTGGAAATTCAAAAAATGTTGGGCAGAAAAGTGTGTTAATTTTAAAAATGTCCAATCATGTGTTGACACGTGACACAATATCAAAAATGATTATTATTATTTTGTAGGAAAATGTCACTTGCATATTCTTTATGGCATCATGGTTGACGTATGTTGGCAAGTGTTGATTGGGTGAAATTTTTTTCAAAAATTTAAACTCTCTAATGGTGTGTTGTCACTTGACAAAATGTAAAAAATGATGTACATGTAGTATAGTTGTATTTTGTAACCGCATAGTAAAATCCTTTCATCTGGCACTGCAGGACTTGCTCTATCAGTATCTTTGGATTAGTTTAGCTTAAAAGTAGCTTAAAGTAACTTTAAAGTGCATTTTGATCAATAGAAAATCACAATATAAACTTTAGTCTGTTATAAGAAAGCACAAGGAATTCCTAAACAGAAAACTATATGTGATGCAACGCTAGAAAAACCCAAAAAATAGTAAGAATAAATGGTTTAGGGCATTGAAATGGAGCTTCAGAATTCTTCAATGGCCTTATAGAAGATGCAGTTTTGTTACTTCCACAAACATCAATTCCAACATTGACACCAAATGCTTCTGATGGACTCAAACAGAGCCCTGGATTGCTACTGAGATCCAAATTTCTGCCAAGCCTTTTCAAGAAACTTGAATTGAAAGGAACAATACCACCCAGAAAGTTTCTGCTCAAGTTCAGATGATATATATGAGACAGATTGCCAAACCCGGTTGGAATTTCACCGGTTAATCGGTTGTTTTGCAACGAAAGGGCGCTTAGATTCGTTAGCTGTGAGTAAATTGGAGGGATTCTGCCAGAGTATCCCGAATTGGCAAGCCTGAGTTCTTGCAATTTTCTGAGATGACCAAATTCCAGGGGCAATGTTACGAACATTGGGTTGTCATCCATTATGAAGTACTGCAGATTTTGAAGCTCCCTCAGGCCCCTAGGAAACCTCCCGCGTAATTTGTTGTTACTTAATGCCAAGAAAATTAAAGAATTCAGCTGCTGAAAGTTGTCTGGAATGCTTCCAGTGAGAGAATTAGAGCTAAAATCCAGCTTTTGAAGAACCAAAAGCTGGCCAATTGCAGCAGGTATTGTCCCTGTCAGCTTGTTATAGCTCAAATCCAGGCCTAAAAGGCTCCTGAGATTGCTAATTTGGACCGGGATCATGCCTGTGAGCCTGTTATAACTCAAATCAAGGTGTAAAAGAGAATTCAAACTGAAAAGTTCAACCGGGATTAGCCCTGTTAGCATGTTTTGTGACAATGTGAGGATTTGAAGAGATTTAAGAGAAGAAATTTTAGGTGGGATTGAGCCAATAAGTGCCGAATTTTCTCTCAAACTAAACTGCTGTAAAGAACTGGAAATCTTGTTTTTGGGAAAAGAAATTGCTGTCTGTGTGTGAGAGAAACACTGGAAAATGAAAATTGATTCAAGATTTGGGAGTTCAAAGATTTCTGAAGGGAATATGGCAGTGTTCTTGCAAGTTGGATTTGGTGGGGTGCCAAAATCAAGCCTGGTAACATGAAAATGGTTATCAATTCCTGTTTTGCACTCAATTCCCAGCCAAGAAGACCCTGGATTACATGGTTTTGGGTGTGAAATTCTCCAGTTTTGGTCAGATGACACAGACTCCATAATCTTGAACAAGGTTTCTAGTTCCAGTGGATTCATGTCGCTAGAAAACAAATTCTTGTCGGGATGGCTTTCGCTTGCATTTCGATTTGTTGAGACAGAAGAGATTGAAAGAAAAGAAATGAGCAGTAGAAGAGAGAAGAATGAGAATGAACAGCACATTTTGTGTTGAGGTCTGCAAACAAGTAGAAAGAGGAGTGACTAATTGTGTAGCTTTGAATTGGATCCACGCCTGTCTGAGAGAGAAATGAGTTATGCAAAGATGTGATTGATATGATGTCTGGGATCATGATTTTGAGCGAGAAATTGAAGCCAAGGTAGGGTCAAAAATATACAAACTTCAGGGGGTGGGGTTGGGTGGGCAGGGGGGCAGGTTTCTCTTTATCAGATTTGATGGCAATGACTACATGAAAGCAACTGTAGAAGTAATTAGTGCTTCAAGATGCAATGACTTGTGGGTTCAAATTTCTCTTGTACAGCCTCAATTGCACGCTCAAGTTCTCTACAGATTGGTTTTTGGTTTCCTCGTTTTTTTTCTTTTCTTTACTATCGTAATTTCTTTTTTGTATATGAACTTCAGAGAAAAAGTGCATTTTCACTAACGATTTCTAACTAAAAAGACACCAAAAAACTCAAAGATTGATAGTAAAAAAAAGTCTGATATGATGGCAAACATAAGCACAAACATTTCGATAGTAAAAAAAGTAACATACACGTACAGAGAGAGCTCATTTTAACAAACTATAAGTAATAAATTTTAAAAAGGAAGACAAAAATAAATTAAAAATATATATTTTTTTAATAAATAAATAAGCAGAAAAGATAGTTTGTTTAAGAGAAAATTATTTCTTGAAATATTTAAAAAGTTGGATGAAATAGCTATTCATGTAGCGAAACAGCATAATGCATTTCTGGTCATGTTGACTTGATAAAGATCTCATAAGCATTTCTCTACTCAAGCCAGCATCTTATTTTAAAGCCAGCGTTTAATACCCGAAATAACTTATTCCCTCCTTGGCCCCGTTTTTAAAACTCATTTTTATTCAACTCAGCATTAAAAACACATTATATAAACTGACGACTTTTATCAACTTTTCCACTATATATTTTATCAACTTTTTCCAAAATCTACTAAAATTCTTATATTTAGCTAAACCAAACAGGGGCTTATAAGCACCCGATTTGTCATCAGCAATCCCAAATGTGTTCCGAGGCAAGAATTGGAGAAAGGGTAAGTAAATGCATTAATTATTGACGATATTCTAAGTATTATTCACAGCAAATGAGAATCTCACAACATTGTCATACAGCAAAGTAAATAAGAGTATAATTAAGTGACTGTTCATCACTTCATCGTAAACAGTGTTGTTCCTTGAGTTGATTTTTACAGCATATTTTCGAGTCCACACAAGGGAAATTCACAAAAGTTTCAAAATTCAGTTTTAATTTGTTTACCGTGTCATAAACCAACTCTTCTTCAGCCACCTTCGGTGACCACATTGCACTTGAGTAGTAAAAACATAAGTTCAAGTTTGCCATATTCATTACGAGAACATTCGAAGGAAGTTATTGGCATATGCCATTGGCTTGACATCAGGGTGTGGCTGCAGTTCATCAATAAACTTCAGCGTCAAAATGATAATCGAAATCCGAATCCCGACCACAAGAAAATTTGTGGGGGGGGTGGGGGGGGAGGACACATGCCAAAGCTGGTACACTAACCACTGCTGTGAAAGTGACGATATTTGGCTTCAGATCAGGGGCTTCAAAACGAATAAATGCACCCTTATTTCCCATCTGCACCGAGTAAAGAAGATTTACTGTTAGCCATAAAGTTTCAAAATTCAACAATGTACTGCTCATTGGTTAAATTAATTATGTAGATTTAAATCACTGAACATTGCCTTAATTACTGTTTAGCATTAAGATTCACAATGAAAATTCAAGAGTTTCTGGATAATGATTCTTTCCCGGCATTCCATCGAATGGCACGAGATGAAGCTCCTCGAAATATACACTAGTACATTATACAATTGAAAAACTAAGTATTTAGCTTATATGTTAGATATTAAGTGGAGTTTGTGTGTCCTGTTCCTCCATGATGCAATTTGACTTTATATCACCATTTAAGTTTTCCTTGCATTTTAGTCTCTTTCCAGAAAATTAAACGGGAGGAAGAAATCAGCACAGGTACTACAGCCTCTGAAGAAAACGGAAGGGAAAACTGCTCTTAGTTAAGACAAAAAAGTAATGATCAAAAAGCTTAATGAATTGATAATATTACAACTGTCAACATTTTTTTGAGCACAGTTGAGGTCCAACGATGAAAATATAATTCGTCGACACAGGCATCAAAGAAATTAGACAGCCATTAAGCGTAAGACAAAAAAGTGATAATCATCTTACCTGATCACAGTAGTTTGGAGCAGAAAACACAGTGATAAGTTTACCATCATGCTCAATCTCATAACCTTCATCTTTCACTTCATGAGAACGCACTACTAAATCTGTTAATAAGAACATGTTGCTTAACCACTTATGTTTTGAATACGAAAAACCTGCGACATTTTAAAACTGCAAGTAAAATACAAGGCTGCAACTCATGTAAGGAATTGATAAAATTACCTAGCTTGTTATCCTGCAAAAATCTTTTAGTTACATCTGCACCAAATGAAAGACCAACGCCACGTTTGCTGGGTCCCCTCCCAAGTTGAGGTTGTGGATCACTCCAGAGCAATTCACACATCAACCCTGGTTGGCATCAAAAAAGAATACATGAAATCGACCAGAACTAAAAATGGAATTCATTCAGACAGAACAATCTCCTTTAGTCAGTTTAGTGTAGTGATCCCAGTTTATCCTCGTCCCTCTTAGCTTATTCCACGATTGGCTTAACTATTGAAAAATTCGTACACCAACTTCTTCTCACTCCCTACAAACTCTCCCCTTTGTAGAGAACACGAAACACATGACGTATGATCTGTTACACATCCCAATACCCTTAACATGTCAAAGTTTAGCGTATGAATTAAACAAGCTTAAAACTCAACTGACACAATCATTGCAGCAGTGACAAATTCCTAGTAATTTTGTCTTAATGTTTATAATAGTTAACAGGTTTCTGACTAAATGAAAAGAGATATTAATGCTTGCAGATCCAGACACATGACCCTTAAGGTTCTATCTATCCAGTTGCTTTCTTTTTTTCCACTATGAGAACCCAGGCCTTAAAAACCCAGATATTAAAGCCCAAGATTTGGCTAATATCACCTCAAGAAGTACTGACATTCAATTCAATTGACAAGAATATTGAAAGTATCATTCTTTGACTGCTAAAAGAACAAAGAGGACCTGAATAGCATCCTTTTCACATAGTCGGACAAAATGAGAAAGAGTGGTAATTATCCATTAATGTTACATTCTGCATTCATAAATCATATTGTTACCGAGAAAAGGTAAAACATCCTAGCAACAATTTTTTACAGAATAAAAGAACTGGGATAAGATGATTTTTCTGATAACTAAAAACCTTCTAGAATAGGAAGGAATCAGCAACTGGAAAGGTAAAATGAACATACGAAATAAATAACTGAGTTGAAGCTTACCCTCTTCAGGAGGCTCACAGAACCGATCAATTTTTCTTATGTCAGAGAGCTTCACACCATCAACACTGAAAAGGCCTCCATGAACCACAAAAACTTTCTCATTTATAACATGAGCCAAAGGTAAACAACAGAACACTTCCGCAAAGAGTTCCACAAACTTATCACTTAATTTGGACTGGACCTCACCCTCAAAACCATATATTTTGTTCATGCTCTTGCTTTCATGATTTCCTCGAGCAAGATATATAGCTGAAATTTTTAAGAAGTTGATAAGAAGCAATGCTTCATTCTGAGAATGGCTGCAAGGCTAGATCCCTTATGCAGATGGAACAAAATAAATGAATAGTACATTCAACCAATAGAACTTGCAGCTCAATACATACATACACTGAATTTCGCTCATGGCACAGAAAAGTGGATAAAATGACAAGAAGCTAATACCTAGAAATTTCACCACTTCATGCCATTTTTGAAATGAAGCCCTTGTTTGACAACCATTAAAATGAATTTTTTGGGGAAAATGAATGTTGGAATAGTACTTTTTTAGAGAATGAGTGATCAAAAAGTAGGAAAAGTTTTGAGTTTACGTGCATAATATTTTATAGTGAGAATGTGAGGTTGAAAATGAGTTGGAGAAGAAAAGAGTGTTGTTTTAATGGTAGTCAAACAGGAGCGAAAATGCTAGGGAACATTGTCAAACTGCCATTTAACTCAAATATGACCAACTATAACACATTAAAAGAACTTATGTGAAATTAAACCAGTAGAGATGAAAACAAAATATAATTACTTTTTTTTGAAAGGTAAAAAGCAAAATATAATTGGCAACCTAATTACCGAGTTTGAACAGTATACTTCCCTGTTTCTTGTCAATTGAGAGGGACATTAATTTATTTTATACGTATATACACGCGTACAAATATCTATTTACAATAAGCTCTAATATTTTATTTGGTCTATAATCATAAAAAATGAAACCTCCAGAAATACACATGCGAAGAATATCAAAGCCAAAAGAAGAGGGATGACCTGATGGAGACATGCATTTGAAAGAAAACAACGTGAGTATGACCTCTAAAGAGAAAGAACCCCTATCGACAAAGTCTCCGTTGAACAGATATGGATTATCTTCAGAAGGAAGTCCGTTGAGCTCAAAAATATTTAATAAATCATAGAACTGCAACCATGTAACAATGGTTAATAAGATAAAAATAAACAGTTAAGTGAACAAAATACAAAATCAATAGTCAGACACGTCCTATGGTTTCTTCAGTATATTATTAATCAAAGATCAATCAGTAAGATGGAATCTAAACCAAATAATTAACTAATTAATTACTAATGAAACATCAGACTAGATAAATAAGACTTGATCTCCACAATCTAGTCATAGGCTGTATACACTGCCAAATGCAGTACATTCTAAGAATTGTGTCTCTAAATATACAAAGATATTCTTTTAAAGTTGTTTGCCGAACACTCTGCATAGCCATATTTATTTGCTAAGAGACTATAAGCTCTTATGACTGGGGTGGCAAACTAAGAGGTGACACCGAGGATGAAAAGATTCTTCAATGACAACCAATCAAGGAATCAATTTCACCTGGCCATGTACATCACCGCATACAGTGAAGTGCTTCCCAGTAGGAACATTAAGGTCGACAAGAGCCGGCAAGGATTGCAACATTTCTCTTGTTTGCAAAATAATGTGGTATGCATATCTACATCATAAAAACACACATTCAGAGGAAATAAAAATTCTTCAAATGAATATGCAACAACAAAAGGCTAAACCTATGTTTGGCTCATATACATAAGCTGTTTATAAACACTCAAGCCACTTTTTATCCACACATTTCGAAACATGCTATTAGTCTCATTCTCAACATATTTGGAATCAGCAACATGAACCCTTTTTCCCCATTTCATGAACAGTTGGAACCTAAAATATATTTTTATTCTATTATAAGAACACAACACCGCAGTTTATTTTGGTGGAATATACGTACACCCTCAAGCAAGCACTTTGGCCAACTAAAATTACCCACTCACTCAGCACCCTATTATTTCTCTCAACAGCATCATTGTATATTGTACCTAAATTGGGGGTTGGGCCATAAAATGGACTACTAACATTTATATTTTACCACATGCATTGCCGCAGAAAACCTACGTCACAATTTTCAAATTATAGTATAATACAAATAGCATTATTAAACAAAACTATTGAGCTTTCAGCCTGTACCTCTTATGTAAGCACTTTTGATTCTTGAAATCATCCATCATTTTCTTCACGAAGTCCAAAGTAACAACATCGTCTTCTATTCTTGCACCAGCATATTGTGGTTCCACATCTGGAAGCGAAACAGAACAAAAGCATCATTAATGTGCAAGCTATTCTGATCTGTCCAAAATTAAGTTACTAGACCCATTAACCTTCACAGAAAGGCGTAAAGATATTTCAGTAAATCGTAGCTGTGGTATTGCAGATTGTTATTTCTTCACTAATAATTGAGTTAGCCTTTATTGACCTTGCAAGTTTCATTCGAACAACATAGTTTCAAAATAATATTGAGTGAAAAAAAAATGAAAAGAAAAATAGTATTGATATGCATGGTAGATATAAATGAGGACCAAGGGAAAGGAAGGAAATACTTAGTTATTTCTTCATTATTTAGATGAGAACTGCCAACTCCAAATCTGGTGTCAATTGCACATAAGACATTTAAGTAAATAACAGAGTATACTTTTTGACACTCAAGCAAACTTTAATATGTCACCTTCTAGACAATGTTAGAGCAGGATAGCAGATTATAGTTTGGAATAAAAGAACAAGACTGTTAAAGAGCTTATCATCAAGATGTGGTTCCAGTTTGTAAAGGTCCAACTGACATCTGAGCAAGGCATTGCTGTAGAATTGGAGTTGGTCCTACAAACTGATAATATCAAATAAATATTGTGCCTAATCAGAATTTTCATAAAGGACGAGTCTATTCTAAAGCAAGCATGATTCATTAATGCTTCAATACATGGTAGCCAATGCAACAGCTTCTAATTTCCTGATACTAATTCATGATGGAGTAGAAAATAGGCTGAAGATTTTTACACGACTTCGGAAACCGGTCTTGACTTGCGTGATGCAATCTAACTCTTGGAGCGATGTCATGAGATCCTGTGTCAGATGCTTGGAGATTAACTTTCCCCTTTCTCATTTTCCTTTGATCTTCATCCATCCAATCTTGTGCAGAAACCATCAAAATAATTTATTTGGATTCCTAACATCCAGAATTTCCAGGTCCGACAAATTTCCTTAAGAACCTTCACCAGCACCAGCGAAATTCCAAATCCAGTTATCAATGTACACAGGTGAAGTTCATGGCATCCAAGAACAACTTTGAAATTATTCTTCGTCAATCTCTCTCATAATCCAATTCTCAAACCATTCCCCATCCATCAGAAACCCTTGAAACCCAATATCTTCCTTCCCATTTCTGTCTTTAAAACTGAAAAGTCTTAATTTTTCCGCTCTCTTGGCTGATGTCCATCCCAAGTCTATAAGGGAAAGAACCCCGAGCCCCGAGGAAATAACTTCCACCCTGAATTGTCAACTTTAACATAGAAAAATGAGGAGGCGAATAGTAGAAAGTAGAAGAAACATTATCAAATACAACTGCATTTCTTACCCCATACCACAAGTTCAAGAACCAATAGCTAACAAACTGAAACTCCATACAAAACCAAAAGGGAACAAACTAAAAACAACTCATAATGTAGTCTGGAGGAATATAGGGAAGAACCTTCATTGCGGTTTTCTCAAGTCCTTTATAATAGATGCAACTATAATTATATTAAACCACCAGCAATGCCAACTGATAGGGAAGCTGTGATAGTTTACTACTCAATTGAATGCCAAGCAACATTGAAAAAAGAGACCTCTCAGTTATATAACAGCAGATTTATGGTCAGTATATGCAATCAGAAGTAAAATTTGCAGGCAAGTGGCTCATAAAATTCTATATCAAGAAACAACATATAAACTCAACTGGACGATCTTCCAAGGATCCCAAAACATATAAGATCGTTAAATAGTTATATTTGAAAATGACAAATACTACTAAACATATAGAACCACAAGTGTTCAACCTTTTATTGTTACAATTCTTTCCATTATCTTTAGTTGACGTACAGGACAAGTAAAGAGAGAGGCAATTTCATCCCATCAGTGCAGGAATAAAGAGACATCTTCGCGTGCGTGCGTGCGTGCGTGTGCATATATATATATATAAGGATTTAAATCATACTCTAATAGCAAGCTGTCCGTGTCATTATTTACTGATCGCTTGAATAAATAAGAATATTCCTAGATGTCTTGGCTTTTCTGGCTTCCCAACCATCAAACAAGATTACTATTTTCCATGGGCCGCCTCAATAATCAGAAGATGCTGCAATCTCCTTAAGAGTAAAACACAATAACGACGAACAGATTTACAACTTCAGGGGATAGATTTTTGAGAAAAATGTCAGCATCAAGCACTTAGGAACCCAAAAGGCCTGCTTATCAAGTGCAAATAAAAATTTATCACAGGCAATGTTGCATTTAAAAAAACTAAAATTGCAAGACCAGATGAAAGTTTGAGGGTACTGTATATCTCATGCCATTCATGCATTTAAACAACTTTCCAGGCAGTAAACACACATGGAGCAGGAAAACTCACAATCAGGGAGAATTTTGTTAATATAATACCCAGAGGTGGTGAAAAGGGACAATATAGTCCACTGACAGAAGTAGATAAACCTTTCAAAAGCTACAAAAAATAGCTATAAGAGAAAATAATAATGATTTGATACCTATGGCACGATAATCAATAGAATCAACTATTGAACGTCTTTCTGATTCAGGCGCAGCAATAGCTTCTTCAAATTTTAGCTTCATCACAGTTTTTTCACATTCTTTCAATTTCTTGGCAGCATCAGGATCATTCGGACATATTTTCTTGACCTAAATAAACAATAACTATTCATCAGCACACTGGAAACTTGTGATTGCACAAGTTACATCCTCCGTGGCAATCAAAAAGAAAAGTCACGTCAACTATTCTCATGAATGAGCAAAGCACAAGGTAATCACTCTCTCATGCTGTCTAACTTTCACGGCTAAATTTTGATTTGCTCCTGCTGATTTGAAATCCACATCGTATTCTGTACAAATATAAGTAAAACCCTTAATCTGTGTCTCACTAATTCAACCAAACATTTGAGTGGTACCACAGATTTTGCCACTTGACACAATTATATAGCCTAAAAGTTTATGCACCATGAAATTGGAATAATAACTGTACTATAAATTAAAATTTCCCCTTTGTTGCTCTATTATTTGTTTCATTACAAACATAACTTTGAATTTACAGAGATTACTACTTCAAACGAAACAGGGACTTGTCATTTATTAGATTAAAGTGGAAAATTTTAATGTTTAAACCTCTGTCCAGATAAGCTTTATCACATGCATCATGATGAAAGCAAAAGACTTCACAAAGAGCCAAATTTAATCTTTGACCCAACCAAAAAATAAAAAAAGACCAAATCTTTCTACTATAGCATTACCAGAGTAACTCCAAAAGGCACGTAAAAGATACATTAAACTTACACACACAAGGGCATAAGTCATAACTAACGATGAAAACGTACTTGTTGAAAATCCTTGAGTGCCATCTTAAACTTTCCCATTGCCATATAAGCTGCACCGCGTCTATAGTAACCCTGTAAAAAAATCAATTCACCCGCATTAGACGAAAAATCTCCTCAATAATAAAAATAAGACTTCATTTTTCCTCTCACGAATATAGAAACAGACAAACTAGCCTTAGAATATTTGGGGTCAAATTCAACAGCTTTAGTAGCATCCAATATTGCACTGCCATACTCTTCCAATTTGGTGTGTGCAAAGGCACGGTTAGCCCAGTATACCGCATTCTTACTATTCAATTCTATCGCTTGTGTATATAAATCAATAGCCTCAGCATATTTATGCGCTGAAAAAAAAGAAAGAACATTCACATTAACACCAAACAAATTTAAATTCTTTACAATACCAGCAACGTGTAAAATAAACATAAGCATCTTTATCATAAATTGGTCACCTTTAAAGGCTTCATTTGCTAAGAGCTTTAGCTGTTCGGCCCCTTCACTGTTTGTGGAATTTTCAGTTGCCATGCTTGGGGGCATAATGGTAATAACAATACTGTAACTACTGTGTGCGGGTGGATGGGGTGGGGGAGGGCGAGAATGGAGGAGGCTATGCCCTAAGATGATTCCAGAATCTAGTGGACACTGTTTATTTCTTCATTTTGTTTATTTTTTTTTTTGTTTATTGCTGACGTAAAAAATGAGCAGCTTATGTTTTAAAAAAAAAAATTTGTTTACTTAAAAATTAAAAATAAGTTAACATGTTTACTTAAATTTATTAGGGTTAATTACGTATCTTCTTCAATAATTGATTTTTCGGAAATTTCAATTATATATTTTGTCTCCCTACTTACTGAAAATATAATGCAACGTGAATGTAATTGAGTAGTACTAATTACTTACTTCGCGAGTGATAGTTCCACGATCTCGACCACCACCTTTTGCAGGGTTCAACTCACTTTCGCATATTAATTGAGCTATTAGAAAAGAGAAATGTTATTCATCCCCAATATATGTGGCATTAAATGATAAATGAAATTAAATAAGTCATTTAAATAAGTTATTTAATTTCACATATCATTTAACCAATCATTTACATCCACATAGACTGGGGTTGCATCCCCACTGAGGATGAATAACATTTTTCATTAGAAGATTTATTTTGTTCACGAAAATTTTATTGCTTGTTTGATATAATAATTTTGTTAACTTTCAATTGATCATACTTCAATTTTAACTATACAATTCTAAGATTCATAACTTTTATTAACTTTTCAATTATACAGCTCATCAACTTTTATCTAAATCTTACTAATATGATATTTGGTATCGATTAAAATTTAGATTTTAATCTAAATCAGAGTCAATAATTCATTTCAACCATATATTTTATAGGTACTACAACTTTTCAACCACATATTTCACCAACTTCTATCAAAATTTAATAAAAAATTGATTTTAATCCTCACCAAACCGAGGCTAAAACTTCTATCAAGCTTATAATGAGCTTGACCATAGAACATGGGACTAAGGGTATAAGTTTTATTAAAAGCTCGATAAGGTTTTCTCATAAAATGAGATGATTGAGGGCTCTATATGGGAGCAAGAGGATAAAACTCATCATGTCCCTTGAGTTTTGAGTAGCTGTTTTACCGTTTTGCAGATTTTAAATCCGTTTGTGTTTTGTCCGGAAGGAACATGCCCTTTGGAAATGTGATATGAGTATCATTAAATTGGATACCGAAGTGAGTTGGTTTCTACTAACCTTAATATTTTGAATCTGTGTTGATTTCTATAGTAGAATATAGTTTTTCGTTTGTCCTCAAGTACCGTGGTGGATTACCTTACAAGAAGCATCGGCAGACTGCAGTTCTCGTTCAGCCTTTAATTACGCAAGTCTGATCGATGCCTTATAGGTAATACCTCAACAATGCTCCAAATCCACCCGCAAAATATGAAAATTTCATTAATAGACTACTGAAAAAATAAAAAAACACACATCACAAAGGACTATGACTGTACTAAATCATAACACATAGATTGGTTTGGTGTCCTAAAAATAGAACTGACTTCCATTAACAAGTATCATTACACTAAATGTGCGTACTCCATTAACCAGCCCTGAGATCATCTTTCATCGACTTCTGCCGTCGCCCACCACCGCAACCACAGTCGCCTCCTCCACGAGCTTGCTTACTGAATAATCTCCACCACCACCATTCTTACCTGGCCTGCCACCAATATCGAACCATTTTCATCCTCAAAAAAGGATGAGTTAGAGAGAACTAGACACCAAAAATAGTATAGATATATATAGATACTCACCTAACTTGTTTTGACCGAAACCTTTTGTCTTCTTTAATCAGCTTCTTTCGTTAGAAAAATGCTGGCATTTAAGTGGAAATTTACGTACACTTGCACTTTCAACACAATTTACAAGCCCTTTCAGTGTCATTACACAGGGAATCTGGACTCCTTTGTACAAAACTAAAAACTTACTGTTGAAGCAATGTGATGACATTGTATTCTCCGATGACTTGACAATATATAATTAGGGTCCTAGGTCGAGCTGAGCGCACAACTGGACTGCTAATCTAAACCTTAACCTCCAAGTTTGTTGCATCATATCATGTTATGTCATGGACATTTCTTAGTTTAAAACA